TATCTATCTATCTATCTATCTATCTATCTATCTATCTATCTATCTATATCTGTAGCACTAATTGTACTCAGTGGGCTATTTTAAAAAGCACACGGAGGACAGCGGAGTTGGTAAGGGGATTGAGTATGATCATAATTCCTTGTATACATGTATGTAATCCTGAAATAATAAATAGAAATACTGTATTTAGAACGAGGTGGGGGTAATGGAATCTCAGTCATCAAGGGCTGCATCTTTGAAGGGACAGGCGGATCTTGACCGCTTTTCTCTTTAACTTATGGCACCATAAGGCAAGCACACTTCTACTGCATTTTGCTCCCATAACACACTGGCTCAGGAACTCTGTAGCCAACTAACCACGGATGAAGCCACAAAATTGTAAGCCCAAAGAAACCTTTCCTACTTTCAAATTGATTGCTTTAGGTGGTTTTATTCCAGTAACAGAAAGCTAAATTTGTTATTAAATCAAACCTTACTAGTTCAGAGATCAAATGTTAAAACATTTGAATTTTGTATACTATTTTTTCAACATTTCTTTATGGGTTTTCCATATGCCACTGAGTGTAAATGTGCCATTGTGTGCTACTTGACTTTACCTGTGGCAAATTCAGCTCCATTGCCTTTCCATGTAATATTTTAAATACGTATGACTTAATTCACCCATTGTACATCAAAAAGCTTAAGAACCACTAACCTTGATTTCATGAGTAATAAAAAAAATCCACTAAAAATATTCTGTCTGGCTTCTTGCACTGTCAGTGCCACAGTGGCGATCTAGTAGAATGTATATTTAGAAAACAAAAGACTCAATCCGCACATTCATAGTAACATTATTCAGAGAGTTAACCCAAGTGTCCACAGACAAACAAAATGTAGTACAAGCATATGATGAAATATTATAGAGCCTTGAAAGGAACAAAATACTTCGCATAAACTACAATATGGATAAATTTTAAGGACTTTAAACTTAATAAAAATAAACCAGACACACACACACAACACTGTACACTTCCACTCCCATGAGGTGCCTACAGTAGTCAAATTCATAGAAGCAGAAATTAGGATAAGGTTGCCTTGGCCAAGGCCTGAGAGGAAAGGAAAATAGGTCATTAGAGTTTCAGATTTGTGAGATTGAAGATGGATGGTGGCTGTGGTTGTATAACAATATGGACACATAATGCTACTAAAGTGTCGCTTAAAATGACTAAGGTGACAGATTTTTTAAGTTTTCAACGGAAGTACTTTAATCAATGTATCAATAAAAATAAAGCGACTAAGTAAAAAAAAAAAGTTTTAGTTGATTTTTTTGGATTCATGCAGGCTCCACTTCAGGTCCAAAACTCAACCTGTGTACAGCCTGCAGTTCCAGGAACAGGAGAGTAGGAAATGGGGCCGTGACTTACTGCAAGTGTTCAAAGATCAGTGCTGTTAGGAAGAACAGACTTGGTGGAGCTTGGTAAGTGAAAGACATGTTACTCCAGAGATTTCTACCCTGTTAGCAAAGGTCACAGATTGTGCCCCTAAGCTTAGTTTTGGTCCTCTGCAAGGCCCTCAGTTGCAGGGGGATGCTTGTGCAGTGGGACATGGATGAGTTGAGAACATTTCAGAAAATGTGGCCAACTCTCCTTCATGTGGTCCTAGGTTAGAATGGTTACACTGATGAGCTGATAGGCAGGGCCCATGGTTCAGGATGACATGAGTGCCACTGGAAGGGATCAAGACCGTGTCAGAAGCACACGTGTCTGGTTAATGCCTGTGAGGTAGAAGGGGAGATGCTTTGTACCAGCAAGACTGTCAGTGCAACTTGCATCATAAAGAAAGGTTCTCTCTGCCTAACAGCCTCACAAAGGTTCTACCACCCTGGGAATGATGGATGCTATCTTGTACTAAAGGAAAAAAAAAAAGTCTTATGTTACTGCCTTGCATAAAATCTCCTCTACTGGAAAGATCATTTGTTTACTATTTATTTTTGTTTTGTGCTAATTAATGTGATCTAAAGTTATCATTCTCTTTCCCACCCCGACACTGTCCACCTCCGCCCACCAGAGGATCTGGGGCTAACGGAAGATGAGCGAGTGGGTGACGCACTTACAGCTGCTCAGATGGTTCTGTAAGTCCATCGACATGTTGCTCAGAAAGTCGTTGTGGACGATGTCTCTCCATTGGATGCTCTCCACATTGCAGAGGATGGGGTTGTTGCTGAACCGCACAGCACCGGTCAGGATTTCTGCATGAATGGAACCATAGTAACCAAACTCTTTGCCTCCTATTAATTCACGCAATGCATGCACTTAGTTCTTTACATGTATGATGTTCGGCTTAATGCTTCCTGTGTGAAAATATGGAAGTCCCCAAAGCAAGCCCGATAGATCTGCTAGGGCGACAAGGAGAGGGGATCTGCACATGCGCAGGAGCATAGTTTTGAGGAAAGGGAAGTTGTTAGCACTGAAGGTTTCCAGCCGGCAGAGATGCAAAGCAAAAGTGCAGATCTGGGACAGGTGATAGTTCTCTCAACAGATGACAGGGGATAAAAGACTTCAGAAGGAAGGAAGGTAGGCTGGCCAAAAAGGGCTGGAATGTGGAGCTCTGCCTGCAAAGTAGAGGAAACAGCAGTTTGACAGAAAAAACCAAGAGGAAACAGAGGTAAGAGGTTAAGCTTAGGCACATAGGATAGGCACATCAAGGCTGCAGTGACAACCACGAGAAGAGACGAGGAGGCACAGAGAGGAAGAGTCAGCAATAGGTACCAGAAGAAGCCCAGGGGTTTCCGTAGTCACCCCTTGACTGAACAGGAAAAGGAAATGAGTAGAAAGTCAAATCTATTGTTTTTGTTTTAACTTCCAGGAAATGCTCAGTTGTTACAGTAGTCTTGTATTAGAAAACTGGGACCTGTACAGCGATAACCTTGCATTAATTATAAAAACAGGAGTAGTCCAGAGGTACAGCATGCACACACCCCCACCCCCGCACTCAGTCTCTCTCCCCCACACACATGCACACACATACACACACCAACAAACAAGGAACTCAAATAGCTGATGCATTCTTTGCCTATGTAGTCAACATGGCAGGACTACATTTGTGAAGTCAGGGTGCTGAGATACAGAGAAAGAGACAGGTGAAGGAATATTTGAGGAGTGTGTTTGGCTGCTGAGTGATGGGGCTGGGGCTGGGACACAGACAGCCTGGCTCCAGGAGACACCCGCTCTTGCCTGGCTTTCTCACATGTATGAGGCAAGATAGGCAGAATAAGGCATGCCAAAAGCACCAAACAGGCCATTTCATGCAATGTGTGTACAGGAGAAATGAATGCAAGCACAAATTCAGAAACATGCGTGGGTGCTTAGAGCAGTTAAAGTGGTGGGTGGGAATTCTGAAGGCAGTTTATAGGGTGGTAAACCAGGGAGCTGGGGAAGGAAGTGTCTGGCTGGCTGTGTTCCTAGCTTCAGCTGTGTGGCCACATCCTAGCTCCGCACACCACGAGGCTGCCTCTCTGCATTCTATCTTTTCTCCTCATCTCCTTCCCAAGCCAGACTGCTTCCTCATCAGAACTTCAGAGCACACAGAGATGAGGGAACCAGGCAGGGGCACAGGGCTTGGGAGAATTATCTTACTGACATGACTTTATCTGTAAATTGTCCATGTACAACACTTGGCTGTGAAGGCAGGCCTTAGCGTTAAGTGGAGTTACTCACTTGAGAAGCATTCCACGAAGCAGGCGTAGAATTGTTGTTTCCCATCATTTCAGCCATCTTCCCCAGTTTCCTCTCCAACTTCAAACCCTTCCCTCCTCTTCCTAACTTTCACGCGAGTTTCCACATAACAATATTAACCTTGAAACCTGCTTCTCAATCATGACAAAATTTGAAGTACATTGGAACCACCTCCCCTGAATGGTTTTGCTGTTTCTGTGTTCAACAGCTTTTGGACCACTTTGGGCATGACATGAAATGACCAAATCCATAAGCTACTGTTGCAGTCCCCTAATTGTTCTGTTAGTTTTCATTATTGTTGTTAGTGGTTCGCTGTACCCAGTCAATGAGTTGAATGACAAGAGGCATATAGATGGGGAGAAAAGCATTGCATGCATAGTTTGGAATACCTGATGTTTCAGACATCTGGTTTTGTCTTGGAAGGGGTCCCTGCAGGAGGAGGGGGTGATTGCATGCTCTCTCTGCTTCTGGCTCAAGGTTACTTTCCACTAATGAATATTCTCACTCACCAAGGTTGACTGGATTTCTGAAAACCTAGCCATTACTTATTATCTCTGGGTATTGTTCCTGATCCACGGAAGAACTGATTTTTACCTGGCTGAAATCTCTTTCCATCTCATTGCCTTTCATCTATGTAACCGCTGCCTGCTAACTCTTCCCAACAGCACTTAGCACATGTGTTGGGTAAATATCTCTTCTCTGAGTTAGGATTAACTGAGGTGGCAGAGTTGCCAAGTGCCATCAGAGTCCCGCCCTGCCCTGATGTCCCACCTCTTACCCTGTAAGTTTCGCATGGGCAGTTCCCTGAGCCCAGTTCTGTTTGCCCCATAGTTGGACAGGACGGCTAAGGCATAGGTGTTTTCATACAGAGCATTTCCCCTGATGATCTGCAGGTTCTCCAGAGGGATCCTCTCCACAGTGTTGAGGGCAATGAGCACATAGCCAGCCACCTCCTGGATGGTCTGAGAGAGAAAACAAAAGCTTACTGTTTTGCTCTGGAGAAAACAAGAAGTGGGTCCAGGAGTCTCATTTAACTTCAAAATAACATTCATGTGGCAGATAAATACAAGACACTTAGACAATTGCACTTGGGTGAAGGGTGAGGCAGATTTGCAGTACTTTTGGAGCCAGCATTAAAGAACAGCACATCATTTGACATGATGTGACTCCCATTTTGACTCAAATGAAAATGGAAGTGAAAAGAATTACTTTGAATGTATCTCTCATGATTTCTTGTGGAGGGAAAAAGTGAGGGAGGAGGAGGAGGAGAGGAGGAGGAGGAGGAGCAGGAGGAGGAGGAGAAGGAATTAGAAAGAAATCAAGGTGAAATAAACCCAACCAAAGTCCAAGTATCTGCAAACTAAATTTGAAGCCTTTGGAGCTGGCTACTAATGGCTCACTATAAATATTTGGGAAATTTGTGAAGTAGTTATAAATTCCTAATAGCTTGAAATCAGCTATGGTGTAAGTATTTATGCTACATATATAGGTACATATCACAAAACAGTGTTTTAAAATTTACCATTATTATTATTTGGGAATCTAGTATGTCAATACTATCTGGCTGAGACAATGGCCAGCAGTTAATATTAGTGAGGACCATGGAACAGTAGAAGGGTGTCGCCCCATTTTCTTTTCCAGAAGTGACTTGACATTCCACAAATGACACTCCTAGCTGGCAGAGTGGACTTCTCGTAAAACTCACCTGTAATCCCTTCGACTGTGGGTTCCCTTTTAATGAAGTATGTATACTTCAAGTCAAATTCTGTTACAACTTCTGTTTGCTCATGTTTAATTCTCTAATGATTGAGTAGGACGACCAAATTCAATTAACTAACCTTTAAGAAGGAAAGGTCGTAATTCCTTTGCACGTAGGTAATTTCCAAGTTACCAAGGACCACTTCACAGTTGTTGAACATCCTCTGCAAGCTCAGAAAGTGGTCTTCAAAAGTGCCCAGTTGGGTGAGCCTGTTACTTGTTCCTTGGCAAACTAGAATAAAAAAGAGAGAGGTCTCTCAGAAGATGCTGACTAAGATAGCAAACCACAACAAAACAATATTTGTCAGCTTTGTGAGCCACCACTGACTTACAATCAACTTCGATCAAAGCCACCACAACGCTGATGTGGTAAGAGATGTTTAAGTTTACACAGCTGTAATCCATAGTAAGACAAAACTCATTCCTGTGATGCATGTGATCACGTGATGTTAAAGATACAGAGAAAACAAAACAGTAAAAGTTCAAGGGGCTAGAAATTCTGTAGAGATTTTGTATTCATTATTTATCTTTTTTCCCCCTTGTGGAAAAATATTTGACAACAGCCCCTTAAGGAGGGAAGGATTTATTTAGGCTTCTATCTAAGGAAGACAGTCAGCTACGGTGGGACAGGTAGGGTGTCAAAAGCTCAAAGCAGCTGGTCGCATTGCATCCACAGTCAGGAAATAGAGAGATGGGTACCTTTCAGCTCCCTTTCTCCTTCTTATTTAGGTTCAGAACCCCAGCCACGGAACAGTGCTGCCCACCTTTAGGTAGAACTTTCTACATCAATTAACCTAATCTAGAATATAGTTCACAGATATGCCCAGATGTTTGTTTCAATAGTGATTCTAAATCATGTCAGGTTGACAATCAAGATAAACAAACAGTTTCTAAAACATCTCTAAAGCAGTCTCTCTAAGGCAGGATAGACTAAAGAGTTCCTGCAGAGAAAGATATCCACCAATTCTATGTGTATGGTACAGTTTCAAGGTGAGCCAGTATCAGTGCAATGAACATTTCACCTCTTAGAAAATAAATATGCTACATTATTGTGTGTACAAAGTCTCCAAAACCATAATATTCAATAGGCAATGTTTTCTAACCACATTTCTGTACACATAAAAATTGGAATTTAAAGGTTAATTGTCTAGGAATTAAAAACATTCCTCTGAATAGTCAAAGGACACATCAAAGTTCTGATTATAGAATACTCAGATTTTTTTAATGAAAAAAAAAAACAACAACTATACTTTAAAGCAACAGGTTAGTAAGAAATCACCATGTCCTTCTGTCTTTTTCACATTGTGTTAGTCCACAGGTATTAATATGTTTGCCTTGTGTGCCCTGCCAATATAAAGCATGTCAAGACACAAGCATAATCCAAGAAAACATGAGAAATTAGGGGCCAGAGTTAGACCACAGAAATGCACTAAGTAGTCTACATTTAAAGCAGAGGAGAGGATAGTCATAAAATTGTATTTACAACCTTGCTTTTGAGGAGACATGTTTAGGCAAGCATAACAAAACAAAGAGGCTTGGAGCCTTTGAAGCAGGGAGCTTGTTAAGGTATACACTTTGAACCAAAATTATCCCAAGAGTGAAGAAATATGGCCTCTGGGTTTAGACATTACATTTGGAGCTGGCCAGATCCTTCTGTATTGGCAATTTTTTCCCTTGAAAGTCACAGTAACCAGGGGACAGAGCACGAAATAAGGCCAATGTCAACACAGTGGTACATTTTTCAGGTACTCTCTACAATATACATCTCTGTTTTATAGGCTTCTCTGTTCCCTCCCTTGGGTTGTTCTAAGCACATCATCTGTCTGGCCTGGCATGATGAGCCACAGTAAGCAACCAGCACATGTTCAGACACCACATAATCAACCCAAGGCATTTACAGACACGATGAAGCAATCTTCTCATCCTCTTTAACTCCGTGGGATTCTCTACTCCCCTTCCATCTTCTCCTACTAATTCAGCAGAAGCGAGGGCTGCCACAAAGGAACTGTGAAAACTGACAGGATTGGGTCCCTATCTCCCACCTGTAAAGGCAGAGTAACTCCATAATTGTTACAAATATGACTTTGACTTGACCCAATATGTCTGGTCCACTTTTACCTAGGAGTGTGAGTTGCTCTGATGTTTGCCTTCACTTGGAACAGCTGCTTAACTCTTCTGTACATACAGCTAGCATAAGACTGTGTACCTACTCTAGATCCTTAAGTTGCCACCTGTAGGTGTAGGGGTTGGACAATGATGTGCCACCTTTCCACCATCACGTCATTGATTGGCCGCTACCTTTCCAGTTAACAAACAGTGGCCTTTGCTTTCAGTTCCTACTCATCAACTGTGGCCCCAGTTGTGACATCTGTTAGCCTTGTTCTCCGCATCGGTGTGGTATGCAGAACAAGCTAGAGCTGGGACCTATTCAGACAGCATTCTTCAGCACACAGAAATATATTAAATTATATTTAAATGACCAAGTACTTCAGTTTGCTAGTTTTGAGGTAAAACTATTCCCAATACTCTGAGAAAGTGCCAGTTGATTTCCAAAGTGGTTGTGTAAGTTTTGGGAAAGATAGAAGGATCCTGAGGAGACAAGAACGCCATAAGAAGACCAATAGAGCCAACTAACCTAGGCCCATGGGAGCTTACCGAGATGGAAGCACCAACCAAAGAGCATGCATGGGCTGTATCTAGGCCCCCTACACATATGTAACCAATGAGCAGCTTGATCTTCATGTGGGTTCCCTAGTAAGTTGAACAGGTGCTATCTACGACATGGACTCTGTTGCCTGCTCTTTGATCATTTTCCCCTAAGAGGACTGCCTTGCCTGGCCTCAGTGGATGAGGATAAGCTCAGTCGTGATGCGACTTAATGTCCTGGGGTAGGAGCTCCATTTTTCTGAAGAGAAGAGGAGGAGGTATAGGTGGAAAAGGGTGGGAGGGTGGGACTGGGAGGTGAAGAAAGGAGAGGATGGAAGGGGCTACAATTGGGATGTAAAATGAATAAATAAAATAAAAATTATTTTTAAAAGAATAAGAAATGTATATTTTATGTAGTCAATAAAGTCAAGTCTATGTTGAATCAGAAATACTGACTGTTATAATAAACGTACAGTGCTAGCCACTGCAAGTTGTAGCACGATTACACAGTTGCAAACTAAAACAATCCAATTACATTAACAAGCAAAGCACATTAAAATAACATTCCTCATGTTCTGTGCTCGGAAAGCCACCATCAAAACAATGTTATGTCTTGGCCCATGATTCTCCTCTCTAGCCTCTAAATAATCCTAAAACAAATTTAGAATTTCTAGAAAACTACACCTTTGCAGACTTTGTCCCACTTTCTTGGGAGGTAGGTGAAATTTCCGAGTTACAGGAAGGCCAGTTTTATGAGGGGCAGAAGAATGTTTTCAATGACATCATCAAATACCTTTCTCTTAGCAAGACCTCCAGTATCACCACATGTCATCTCCAGCAATTAACTCCTCTCAGTATACCAGCCAGGAAAAATGAGACCAGTTTCACCTATTTAGTGGTGTAATTGTGAGTGCAATAAGATTGTGAACAGGGGGCTACAGAGGCCACCCAGTGGTTAGGGACACTTGCTGTTCTTCTAGGGGACTCCAGCACTAACATGAGAAGGCTTACCACTGTTTGTGATTTTGGCTCAAGCAAACCCGACACCCTCTTCCTTCATTCGTGGGCACTGAAGTTGTGTGCACAAACCTCCACAGAGACAAATATATATATATATATATATATATATATATATATATATATGTACTTTAATTTAAAAAATCTTTTAAAAAAAGGAGGAAAGAAAGAGTATGGATGAAAAAGTACTTTACAAATAATATCCCTCTCTGAATATAAGCTATGTGCCCCCCTGAGGCATTACCATAGAAGCAACAGTTCTCATAATTTCTGCTTACATATCTTCCATGACACCAGCAAACACCTTCCCATTACTGTTCCTTTAATTGGCAATCCTAGATCACAGGACAATCTATTCCATCCTTCACAAGAAGATGAATGGCGAATCAGGAACGAATTGTCTTGTGATTGAGCTATTAATGAGTGCAATAAGAGTCTACTGTGGATCTGACAACACGTTTACCGAGCGAGCAGTTTCTCCAGTTACCTGCACTGATGTTCCCATAAATTCTATCAGCACAATCACATGTGGTAAGAAAGGCAGATTCACAGTCAACTTGAACTGGAAAGGGTTGGGACACTTCTGCTGAGCAGGGCGCTGTGGAGAAAGTAGCCCTGGTTTAAAGTCTGTGCATGGAGATGTAAGTAGTAACCGATGAGGTGCTGCTGCTCGGCTTGGCGGAGCCCTCGTGCGTGAGTAAGCACTCCTCTCCGGCCTGTGGCCCGTGTTCTGTTCCTCTAATCTCACTACTGCTCGCTCAGTCATGATTAGGTCTGTTTCTTCACATAGAGGCATACTTCTGCAGTGAATACTATTTCCTTCCCTGAAGCCTGCCAGCCAAACTTCCACCTCCACCCTTTGCCTCCCTGGCCTTCGGAAGAATCTGACCTGTTTATCTAGAGCTTCCTGTTCTCTGCTCACCGTCACTAGCAGCAAGGAGTTACAAACAACACTAACATTTGCACTGCCGCCACACCTCAGTTTTCAAAGTCCTTCCCCTGATTTCAGGAAAGACCTCAAGGAAGCAGCCAGTCCTACCAACTCCCTCCTATGCCTGAAAGCTGAGAGGCCCTTGCACATAGGACTTCTGAGAAAAATCAACAAAGAGTATAAGTTAGCTCCCTGCATTGGCTTCCTGCTATCATAGGATGCTAAGACACTAAAATCCGCAAATGATTATCACATAGCATAAGTTCTAATGAGGACCAATGGGTGAAAGAATCCCCATAGGCTGGGGCTAAAAATGATTGCATGAAAATTGGCTTTGAAAGTTGACCACTTTGGCTTCAAGGAAAATAGCTCTTTACTGAATCTTAATGTGCCCTTTGTTGCCAAATACCAGTTACCCATGCCCTCTCTTCACTCCATGCAATAGAGGACTGGGCATCAGAAAGCACTTTGGAAGTGTGAAAGGCTAGTGGTAGGCTAGAATCCACCCTCACTGTTGCCATGGGCTGAAATTCACCCTCACTATCCAGTGTTGCCATGTCCTTGGAGCACTAGTCTGTCAACTTCCTGTTTCCTTAAGAGCCTCCTCCGTCAGGAGGGTTGAGTGCTTCCAATAGGCT